CGTATAGTATGCAAAGAATGGAATATAATGCCTAAATTTTTTTAGAAAAAATGTGTTTGTCAATGCCTAATAATATATAGTTTGATGTATTTTTTGAATTATTATGTTACTGAACTACAATATTTCTCGTTGCAATATTTTCCATGCCATGTTTATAGTAGATTTTCCTGCTATTCTAAAACTACTCAGGAAAATGATACAACTTTGTACTTCGGTAGTAACTATTTCATGGCTGGTCTAATCTAGCATTCAAGTGGACAAATCTTTTGTCATGCTCCCACTCCCTGCATTAGACCCCTGATAAAAATATTCAAAGAAGCTTCTGGGACAGGGAAAGCTAGCTCCTGGATGATGGAAACAATAACATACCATCATGATTAACAAAGTAGATGATCAAAACAGCTTTTTCTTCATATCTAGGGAACTCTTAAGTCTTCGCTAGTAATCATTGCTTCCCGAACTTAAAACTTAGAGCTTGAAAATAGATCTAGACCTAGAATTATTTAAAGGTTTTCCTCTCCTTCGAAAGTTTTTATAATGTTTTCCAACCAAAAAGTCCAAGTTGATCATTGAAGGGTTATCGTCCAGTGTTGAGCTCTCTTAACATTTTGGCATAACACACTGGGACAACATCCTACGTAGGCCCACCCACTTGCCATGGAGATGTACTTGGTTTACATATTACTGTAAAAAAGGCACTCACATGAGTGGATTACCTTTTCTATTCACTTGTGCCAGATTACAAGGTTAAAATAGTTAAAATTAAATGTCCATCAGTTTAATGGTTCAAATCAATCATTTGACTCTTGAATTGTGCTACAAATGTTAAATGCTTCTTGATATGCAAAATACATGCATTTCTGTGGAATTATTGTATTTTCTTCTATAAGAGACTCTTAATCACCAGGCCAAATTTCCTTTTGGGCATGCAAAGTGAATAAGTAGCTTTGTAGTTGTAGTTATTTGAAACACATCAGCTGTGCCTAGTATATTGTTCTTTTCATATTATCATGGCCCTCTAATGATATTGTACTTGCACTCATCAAGCTCATTAATGGAAGGGGATCATTATGGTTAACATTGTCATGGAGCTATGCTTTCTTAACCGCAAAGTCAAGGGAATGCACCAGCTGAGGAGGTGTATTAGGCTTAATATACTGGCTGCATCAAAGACCTTATGTTATCTATGATTCTAACTTTAGATCGTAGGAACAGTAGATTTACCTTCCATAATCTTCTAAAAGGTTAACCTTTCCATCTGCTTATAGATGTAATATTGTAATTGTGATTAATATATGGACTTACAAATCCATATGATTTAGTTAGCTTCCATTTTCTGTTAGTTGATATGCGCAAGTACATATGGTGCTTGGGAGGTTACTTACCTAAATTCTGACTGCTTTTTATTACTCTTGATTTGTGCAACATATGCACTTTCTACGTTTTGGAGCAAAAGTAATTCTGGTTTGCATTTGGTCAACATTTTTTCTGGTTGTTGAATTTTTATTGTTTAATTTTTTGTTTCTTTCCAGGGACTGCATAACTGTATAGTGACGCTCATACTAAGGTATGATGTATTGGCCCATTATGTCTATGTCATATTATGTACAGGATTTCTGATTAGATCCTTAACTATGCTTCATACAATCTTTTAAGCAGCAAATTTAGAGGCTGTGGAAAGAAAACATTGAATTTGCCGCTTGTTGGGGAGGTCGCTATTCTGTCTCTAGTTGTCTTAACACTTTGTGTGGGATTCGCCATCTTCTGGGCAGTAAACAGGAAAGAATCATACTCTTGGGTTGGCCAAGACATTCTTGTAAGCTAATTTATAATTTCCTCCTTAACTGAAAAACTGTATGTGTGATAGACCTTTATTTCCAGTTGGATAGTTAGTTGGTTTTATGCATCCTTATCACCAAGTCTCACTCTTCTAGATACTTACTCCAGCTGAAAACTGTTAAAAGTAAATGAAAACTTTATTTTCTCCAGGGGATTGCTTTGATGATCACTGTTCTGCAGATGGCTCAATTGCCTAATATAAAGGTGTGTTGATAGCTTCTAAAATTCACCAGTGAACATAAAAATTTCTTGTTTTGCTTGACCTATGTCTACTAATATACCTTTCATTTATATCATTTCCTTTCTCTTTTAGGTTGCTACAGTGCTTCTCAGCTGCGCGTTTGTCTATGACATCTTCTGGGTTTTCCTATCTCCTACTATATTCCATGACAGTGTTATGATTTCAGTAAGTTTTCTCTTTAGTTACAATTTTAAGCTGTTTCGCTGATGTAGATATTTTATCAAATCATATCATGAGTTAGATGTCTAAATAAAGATTTGTGTAAGAAAATGAAGAAAGTTAAATTAAATGAAATTTTTATTGTTTTTAGTTTTGAGAAATGGTACTTTTTAGAAGCCAGAGGTTGGCAATGGAAGGTATCAACATAATGAATGTGTTCAGCTTTGCATTAATACACCTTGTTTTATTTATTATACTCACACTTAATATATGGATTTCACACCTATATACAGGTGTATCTTGTAATTTATTTGTATTAACTTGGTAAGAATGCTATTATCTCTTCCCAGTTTTCTTCCTTTTAATATTTTCAGCATGAAGCCTTTTTGGTCTTCAATCTCCAGAAAATTAAAGATTGTTCCCCTTTACAGGCAGGTGGTGTTATACAACCTGTCTGTATAAAGTTTCAGTCTTTTTTTAGTTTCATTTTTCAGGTAGATAGGAAGGAGAACTTCCCTCAACTTGGTTTCTGTTCTTTCGAAATATGGCACTAATGTTGGGCATTAAAATTTTCTTTTACTCTGATGTCATTGCCTTCCTGCAACATGCATAATATGCACAGTTCAAAGTAGTAGCAGCTAAATAACCTTATTGAACACTTTTGGATATTTATCATGTCGATGTGTATTGTGGAACATTAACAAAATGCAACAAAACTATTTGATTGTTTTGCACAGGAACTAGGTAATGATTTTAAGCTGCTCCGGATTGTTTAAATTTAAATGTGCACACATGCATCTTTTATCTTTTGATGGTTTCAATGTTTTTTTTTCTTGGTATCTGTTAATTACATTTACGTGCTCAAAACTGGATGCTTTCATTATGAAGCTGGGTTAAACTCACTTGTTGCCACACACTTCTTACCAGAAGATAATTTAGCTCTTCAGTATCTGTCAGTAATTTTTTGGGTGGTTGGATTTGGCCTCTCTTGTAGGTTGCTAAAGGTAAGAATGCCGGTGGAGAATCAATCCCGATGCTTCTGAGAGTTCCTAAATTAACAGATCCTTATAAAGGATTTGATATGCTTGGCTTTGGGGATATTCTCTTCCCTGGTTTGCTAATTTGCTTTACATACAGGTATATTTGCTCTTCAGTCATCTTGCAAAGATTATTGTTTCTCTCTTTTAGAAATGTAAAGATTAGCACATCACCTTGATTAATTGATAAGAAACTTCTATTTCACATGCTACTTCTCTACCTTTGTTCTTAAAGATATTCTTGTTATAGGCATCTATAAGGACAGTGAGTATATATGAATTTAGTCAGGAATGTTTTGATATATGAAGCTCTCGGTTTCAATGGAAATGCTTATTTGTTATGCAAACATCTCTAAATATTCCAGTTTTCAAGTGTTACAAATCATCCCGGTGACGATGGTTAAAAAATGGGAAAACAAAAGTTGGATAAATATTTGTGGGATTCAGCAGAGGATGTTTTCAAATCAACTTAGTGGCCCAGTTTGTCAAAATTGACTCGTTCTTTCTACAGAATGTTGGCGATTTAGCTTTGACTTCTGATTTATCCCATTTGGACCTCTTGTAGATCTCCTTCTCGATCTCTTTTGCAGATTTGATGAAGCTAAAAAGAAGGGGATACTAAATGGATACTTCCTTTGGCTATTGATTGGTTATGGGACTGGTGGGTACCTCTCTTTTGTTTCTTACTTCTAATTTTTTTTTATTTTATATGTTGTTCTTATTGTTCTTTCTACTTTTATCTGCTCTTACTATGTTATTTCTTATCCAGACTCCACTTGTGTGATTATACTGGATATTTTGATATTGTAGTGTGTTATTTCATATCCGTTTTGGCTTAATATGTTACTGTTGTTCTTAGTTGTTCGAGACCATAAAAAGGGGTAAAATTCAGAATAGCCTCATTTCCTAATTGAAAATCATTTTGAGGTTATCGCTCCAATGTACACATCTTTCGTTCAATACCTCTAATTATTCTAATAAAACCTCTGCTAATGATTCTGCACATATCTATGGAAATTGTTTTTAGCTCCACATATGTTAGTTAGTTCTGATTTTTACGTGTGAATCATGTTGACTATCTATCATTCTTTCTGAGTTTCTTTCTTTCCGCGTTCCTTTTTTATTCTTGTACTTTCTCCTTCCTATTTTTCTTTTCTAATGCTGCATTTCGTTCATTCCTCGCCTCAATCAACCTAAAATCCGTGCAGGTCTTTCCATTACTTACTTGGGCTTGTTTTTGATGAACGGACATGGTCAACCTGCTCTCCTGTATCTCGTGCCCTGCACATTAGGTATATGATAAAATTGATGACCTGTTGATTGAAATTGTTGTTTAGTTTTTTCATCGTCTTAAAACCTTTATCGTCCAGGAACTTGTGTGGTACTGGGGGCAGTGAGACACGAATTGAAAGACCTTTGGACCAATTGCGATGAATCAAAACAAATGGCTGAAGCGCGTCTAGGAAGTGCTTGATGAAGAATACAAAGCACGACCCATTGGTATGTTTCATGCTGCAAAAGTTGTAAATAGAGTTTGAAGTTTTCCAAAGGAATACTTCACTGTCCTTTCTCTCTATGTATATTCTATCAATCAATTGATTATTATGTAACATCACAAGAATCACAAAACAAGGAGAATGTTGTAACTCATTGAATTACTTTCAATAGTAAATAATTCCCATTTTGTTTTTACCTTTACAAATAGTAGAGAACTTCCAATTTATTTTTTTATTAGCAGATTAACTAACCTTTTGATACTCCTTTTTGGGACTCTTTGTGAATTCTAAAACAAGGTTCAAATATTATAGACAAAACTGCTAGGCAATTTACTCGGTATCTATTGATGATTGCAGGTAACTGTGAAATTAGTTGAGTTGTTGGCGGAAGATAACAATATGAAGTATCCTGTGAAATTAGTTGATTGGACATAAAAAATGAAAAAAGAAAAAGATCCCCAGAAGGATTTAATTAAAGATCTAGTGTATAAATCCAAATTCAATCGGACCTCAATCGAGTATAGAAGTGAAAGAAAGATCCAGGAATTAGCATTGCAGTACTACGTACCTCTGGTTTGAATTTACAAACCTTTGGGCATAGTTTATAAATTTTATGCAGAGCGTGTCTTTTTTTGTTTTTGAAATTCTAACAGAAGTTACAAAGGTCTGAAATTTTGGGAAAAGAAATTACTTATTCGGTTCACTTTTACTTTTCGACTTAGCAGATGCTTAAAAAACAATATCAAAGCATTTTTTCAATATTAAGTCTTGGAAAATAATTTGGGGAATAAGTTATTAATACTCAGGTTAAAACATGGGAAAATATCATCTTTTTTTAATCGGATAGAAGTGACCAATACAAATAAAAATCTATTTTTGGAATAGTAGACAATTAAAAGTAAACGGAGAGAACTTCAAAATTATGGTCAGCTGAACTCTTTGTTCTTCCAAGATGTAGCATAAAAGAGTTCTGCTACATTAATGTTAAGAAAAGAAGAAGATGAATGCATAAGCTTTAATGTGTGTCTATATGTAGGTTATACCCAAAAAAAGAAGAAGGGAAAAGGACTTATATCCCCTCAACTTTGCAATTTAGAGATTATATGCCCTCGTTACAAACGTGGCTCACATATATCCCTACCGTTACATAAATGGACCTAATTAGCCAATCTATTTATTCTAGGGCGAGATGTCAGTTCTGACATAGTTATTTCTACTTCTACCAGCAGTAAAGAGATCTAGATAACTGACACGGAAAATGTTCTGAAGGGTGAAAGAACTTCCACCTCAATAGATGAGGAAGTGGTTGGTTTTGAGGATGATGCTGAACACATAATTCAACAATTGACAGGTGGAACAAAGGAACTAGACATTGTATCGGTTGTTGGAATGCCTGGACTAGGCAAAATAACTTTGGCTAGAATGGTTTTCACTCATCATTGTATTGATTAACACTTTGACGTTCGAGCATGGTGCTCTATTTCAAAAGAATATAATCTGAGGAAGGTGTTCTTAGAGATTCTTAAACAAGTTGTAGGCAATATGTATGATAGCCCATCTGAAGACTTGCCTGACAAGTTGCGCAAGATTCTAATGCACAAGAGATACCTCATTGTGTTAGATGATATATGGGATGTCGAGGCTTGGGAAGAGTTGCAGTTATCTTTCCCGGATGATGAAAATGGAAGCAGGGCACTGCTAACAACTCGAGATGAGGAAGTGTATAGGCAGCTTAAGCACCACAGTGATCCATATTTTCTTCGATTTCTCACAGTGGATGAAAGCTGGGACTTGCTTCAGAAGAAAGTATTTCAAGGAGAGATTTGTCCCCCAGAGCTACTCAAAACAGGATTACAAGTTGCTGAAAACTGCAAGGGATTACCTCTTGTGATTGTTTTGATTGCTGGAATTATTGCAAAGCAAAGGGAAGCCTCTTTGTGGCTTGGGTTCGCAGAAGATTTGAGTTCCCATATTTTACAAGAGCAAAGCATGAAGATAATAGAATCAAGTTATGACCATTTGGAAGACCATTTAAAGTCTTGCCTGCTTTACATGGGATTGTTTCCAGAAGACCATCAATTTCCAGTATTCAATTTGCTTAAGTTGTGGATAGCGGAAAATTTTGTACACAACTTGGACGCAGAGAACGTTGAGGACGCATCTAAAATTTGCTTGAATGATCTAGTGAACAGAAGCTTAGTAATTGTTTCTCGAAGGAGAGAAGATAATGGTGAGATAGAGTACTGCACTGTTCATGATGTAGTGCATGAGTTTTGCTTGAGGAGACTTACAAAAAAAAAGTTTATGCAGTACCAACCTTCAAAGGAACCCCAGTATACTAGATTTATCCATGATCATCTTGTTCACCAATTGTTGCAGTATACAGAATCATCATATAGGATTCCAATGTTGGCAGGCTTGAAGAAAGGAGAGTCTCTCGCTAAATGTCATGATAGGTCTCTTTAGTCTATTGCTCGTCCAAAGTCCCGTGTTTGGCGAAAGACTTTTCCTTTACTCGATAACTTAAGATTTATTCGGGTGTTGCATTTGTCAGATGTCTGTTTGGAAAGACGTTATTGGACTACAGCAGTGCAAGCAGTAACTTACTTGAGGTATCTTGCAATTTGTACCCAAGAATTTGATTTCCAGTGGGTATCACACCTACACTATCTACAAACTTTGCAGGTGGTGGGAAGTAGTGATTTTTCAAGGCGTTTCGAGACATCCCCATCTATTTGGAAAATGAAGAAGCTAAGACATGTGGATATACAGGATTTTTCTTTCAAATGGGAAGACAATGATCGAGCACTTTCCGAAGAATCTTCATCAACTTTGTTACCAGAGTTGAAGACCTTTGGGAAGTGTCGTATATTTTTGGCTGATAAGACCCCGGAGTTCTGGTGGAGATTTCCACATATTGAACAACTCAAGCTCCACTTTATTGAACAAGGTTATGAAGTTCATATGCCTAATCTTGAAGAACTCCCACTTCAATCTCTCAAACTGTGTTTTTCACGCCCGATCTCCGGCTACAAATCCATAGGACTGGCCAGCTGTGTTGTCCTCCCTTCAAATCTAAAGAATTTGTCCCTTGATAGACTTTGCTTAACAGAAGAAGCTTTTTCACAACTTGCAAGTCTGCGAAACCTTGAAAGTCTCAAACTACGTAATTATACTTCAAACCAGAAGGTAGATTTAGGCAGGCTGGATATGGCATATGTTGGGATGTCAGTGATTATGAGTTCCTAGCACTCAAGTACTTGCTTTTACAGAATGTTCTCATGACAGAATGGCGCTCCTCAGATTCATCCTTCCCCGTACTGGAGAAGTTAATTATAAACAAATGCACAACTGTGTGGTAAGATCCCTTCTAGCTTTGTGGATATCCCGACATTGAAGTTGATTAAGTTGATATGCTGCAACAACTCACTTGAGGATTCAGCTTTCAACGTTAAAAATGAAGTGGAAGAGATTGCAGGATGTGATAGTCTCCAAGTTCATATTCAGTATCAACCAGACAGTAAGTTATATCATCAAGTGCCCGTTTAACCATGTATAGTAATCCGGAAAACTGTTTGGACTTAAAGAGAAACTTTATTTAGGTAAAACAATTCATTCAGGTAACATTTTGATTTTTCTCTCTATTTTGCTTTCTTTCTTTATAGGATATGCAGATGCAGATTTTGCAGCAGAATGCTTCAGTGTTTGGGATCAAGAAAACAACCGTAGCTCACTGACACCTTTTGACTTGAGGTTGCAAATGACTTATGTTCCCATGTTTGTAATGACCTATTAGGTTGTTTTGAGTTTTAGAATCTCTTACAGCCAAAATTAGTTATTTCAACGATTAAGAGTTAACCAAAGTCAATGATGTGATTAGACAGGCTCGAATTCGAGATTTGAGTAGGTCCATAGGATGATTTTGAACTTGTACATATGTTTGGATTGCAACTCGAGAGGTTCAGTGAGATTTGGCCTTTTGGGTGCTAATTTCCTATTTCAGCTGCACCAGATTTTTTCTTTCTGGTGCATCAGGTTTTTGTGCTTTGTGATCATGGGAGGAGGAGTGAACATCGCGTAGGGTTGTTTTGCCTGGGTTTTGTTGATACAATTGTGGTAAAGAATCAGCTTTACTGATATCTCATCATAACTCTTATTCGCACATTTTATTTAGTTGTTCGGTTGAATCTGTGCGTATCTTCTCCGTACGTTGGTTCTGTGCATTTCTTTTATAACAATGTTCACTTAGATATACTTATATATTGTTATTATATGTCTGTTGAGATCACATAAGCTGATCATGATGGAACACAAACATTTGAAAGACCAACCCTCGTTACTATTGAAGATACTTGTCGAGTACACGTTATATTTTTGTACTCATACTACACTTATTGCATTTTTTGTACAGTAATGTATCCCCGGGATAGCGGCTGTCATGACTGAGTTTAGAGTTTGCTTGGAGATATCAGGGTGAGCTACTTGGCTAGTTCGTAGCATCGTGGACTCACTCTCTTATTTTACTGGTTTTCTGTTTTCATTCACACAGTGTGTCAAGAAGTACCCCTGAGAATTCTCAAGGTGAGAGTCCTTGAGAGACTTAATGGAGCATTCTTCGAGTTCGAGGATGATGATGTTGCTTCTAGGCGGGGGAGGAGCCATGTAGAGAGTCAAAGGGGTTCATCTGAACATCTTCGACCACAAGTTATATTGTTTATATATAGTAGATGTGTAATTACTTTGATATTTCTTCGTGTGTTTACTTCATATTTTGAAACTCATCAGTAAAAACCAGTGCTCCTCTGTTGCTTGTGGCATGAAAAGAATAGCTGATGCTGATCAAATGAAGAGATGCACCAAGTCACTTGAGGATTCAGCTCTGAACATTTAAGAAGTTGAAGAGATAAGACTGTGAAAGTCTCAAGTGTCTTGTTTGATTTTAGAGATAATGGTTCAAAACACGGTTCGAAGTAAAAAAAATTATTATTTTTCTATTTGAATTATCAAATATTTGTACTTCCTATATGAACTATTGCGAACTATTTATTAAAAAAACGTGCTGACTCAGCTTTCATGTGGACGAAATTGTTGAGTAAATTAAATTATTAAATATCTTTTAGAGATTGTATTTAAACACTTGATCTTATTAGCTTTGATGTGTGTTTTGATATGCAGTTTAGTGATAGTTTAGATAAGAAATACGAACACTCGATAATTGAGATATAAAACTTACCAAAAAAATGATACTTCAAATGTGGTATTATCATTTATCTTTGATTCATGGTTTAAGCAAAGACAAAAACATAGCAAAAACTATTTGCAAAAAAGTTCCAATTTTACCCCTTCTTTAAATTTAGATTATGATTTTCTTTTTTTATACAAGGCAAAGTTCAACTTGAAAAACACAAATGAACCATTTTCATTCGTCTCACTGCTCTGCACCGTCTTGTAAGTTTCTCTTTTTCTCTTCGATTTCTCTCTAAATTGACCGAAACCCTTGCAATTTACTTGCAATTTGAGTGTATTTAGTAAACTATGAATTCGAGTGAATTTGTTTTTGTTTTCTAATGATGTGTTTGCTCAATTGCTCCAATTTATTGAAGAGCTTCAACTCCGTTGTATTAGTTCATGTTTTTATTTTTTCGTAAATTTAAAGCATGGTATCGTTAATAGTGTAGCTCTAATCTGTGTTTAAGTGTTAACGGTCGAGAAAAAATTGTCCTTTTTTGGGTCATATACAGCTTAAGCTCAATGACACTGTTTAGATCAAATTCCTGTTTTAGACGGATTTAGGGTATTGGAGGTTCCTGGGACCTAGCTACCCGTTTGCGTGGATCCTCTATTTGTATTGAAAATTCCAGTGAATATATAAGAGAAACGGCTTGGGGATGTTGGGTAGTGGCAAAAAGGTAATCTTTTTAAGCGTTGTTGCCCTCTTGGTCAAGGGCGAATCCGTTGGTCGCCACCATGTAGGCATTTTGTTTTTAATTTGAGATGGTTGGGAACCCACAAACTTCACTCTATTTGTAGTTTTCATTTAAGGGAAGACAGTTCTTTTCTCCAAAATCTTATTACGCTTCAATTGTTTAAGCTGAATTGCGCACGTCTCTGTTCTTTTCCAGATGCATAAATGTGTGATGGTCTTCTCGCTAATTGAGTCTCGAAAATGGTTCACAGTCAATGGAAGGCAAAGATTGTGCCATCCATTGCCATATCTGAGAGTAGGGCATATGTGCATACAAATTATGTTCAAAACCAGTGGAGGGAGACCTAAGAAGAAAATGTACTATAGAGTAAATGATCTAGACAGAGTCATGGAGCTTCAGAAAAAACCATCATTGATTTTACGCTTAAAATCCATAATTCAATCACAGAGAAAACAATGTGTCCTTCTTAGAGACCTTGAGAAAGAAGTTGGATTTGTGCAAAAGTGGAATTTCATGGGTATTATTGAAAAATATCCTATGATATTCCGTGTCACCGGTGGTAATGGAACTCCACCGATGGTTATGCTGACTGAAAAGGCTGATAAAATAGCACTAGAAGAAGATAAAGCAAGAGTGCAAATGGAACCTATTTTGGTCAAGAATCTAAGGAAGTTGTTAATGTTGTCGGTTGATTGCACGTTGCCACTGGAAACCATTCAACTGATTGAGAATGATTTGGGCTTGCCTAATGACTTCGGGCAATCGCTGATTCCAAAATACCCACAATTTTTCTCAGTGAAAGACGTGAATGGAAGAACATCCCTTCAGTTAGAAAATTGGGATTCTTATCTAGCTGTCACTGCCCGGGAGGAAAGGTTGGCGTGTGAAGGGATCCTGACTTCAAAAGAGAAGGTTAGAGTATTGAAAGATGGAAACTACTTCGGTCCCTTCGCGTTTCGAATGCATTATCCTGCAGGATTTAGGCCGAATATGAACTACCTTAAGGAAATTCAGAAATGGCAGAAGATGGAGTTCCCTTCTCCATACTTGAATGCTAAAGGATTTGAACTTGCTGATCCCAAAGCTCAAAAGAGAGTAGTCGCAGTGCTTCACGAGCTCCTCAGTTTGACTATGGAAAAGAGGTTGACATCTGCTCAAATAGATGCATTTCATACCGAGTTACGGTTACCAGCTAGACTTTTGCTTTGCTTAATCAAACAACACGGTATATTCTACATCACTAATAAAGGTGTCAGGAGTACCGTGATACTTAAAGAGGCTTATGATGGGTCTAATTTGATCTGTAAATGCCCTCTGTTATTATTTAGGGATAAGTTTATAGCACTTACAGGAAGAAGCGATATTGATTCATGTATCAGTGCTCCAACATAGTTTATATAATGAGAAGAATGGTTGACACTGTATTCTGTTCTTTTTACCCTGTTTCTCATGGGTCTTGATCTGTATTGTGTTAATCAGTAATACGAATGGTCAAGATATTGGCAATGATGTAGCTTTGGAACTTGGATGCAGCTTTTGTATTCAATTCTATGTTGAAAACAACTAAGTACTGAATCAATCATATTTATTGGAATTTTAGAGCCTAGAGGCATGCTGAAAGAAAGAGATATGGTGTGAACTTGAATATCTTGAGAACTATCCTGGAGATCAACTAATTTTTGTTTTGAATTTTTCCTGAAAGTTGCTTTTTGGCGTCCTTGTCTGCGTATGTCACAACATTCTCTATTTATCCTCCTTAATCATAATTTCAGTTGGCATTCTGTTTAACTTCTTTTTAGAGGTCATAGAGAAGTTCCTGTATTCCCTAGAATCTGTACTGCTGGTAGCAATAAATAATAGAAGCTTCTCTCTAAAGGCCTTGAATCTTCATGAGTGTTTATCTTCCTGGTTCTTTGATCCAAATTTCAACAGTTTCAATGGGTCATTATTTGTTTAACTTGGTTGTTTTATATCTTGTTGAGAAAAAAATATAAATATTTTTTAAGAAGCTTTTTGCAAATTTTCTAATTTGTTAGTTCGGGTTAGTTAAGGAACCTTATTGATTGAGAGTAGCAATTCATAATCTTAGACTCTTAATAGTTCTTATAAAATTGTACTTCACGTCAAAACTTATGTACTGAAATGGTCGCATTGAGACCTTTCCAAATAATTCTTCGGAAAATCTATAACTAGTAAATTAAGGTAAGCTAGTTTGAGTTGAAACGCATTTACTATGGTATTGTCGAACCTTTAAAAAGGCAACCTCATTGGTCAATATAAAATGTCTTCTTTGTGTATAGGATGAGGGAGAACTCATTGTGTGACTGCTTCACATGTTTGAGCAGAATACATTGCTGCAGAAACCATAGGAGTTGAGGAGAGAGTGATGGATCGCAATCGAAGTCCACAAGGTTGGTGTATTCTTATACAGGTTCTGATATGCTGATTCAAAGCTTTTTTTCATCAGTGTGTTTAGCAAGGAGAGAGGTTACCTTCAATGTGAAATTGCAGGTGAAACTGCCCAGATTCTTGTAGAATTCTTAGAAGTTGCCATTACGTCAGTTGTGTTCCTCAAAGGAGTTTACCCAAGTGGTAAAAGAAAAATTACCGGCAATTCAGAGCTCTATTTTACTGCTTAAGCTAGAAAACCTCTGAATTGGATCTTGTTCTATGAAGGGGCTTTTGAAAGGCGGCGTTACATGAATGTTGTGGTTCAAAGAGCTAGACACCCGGAGCTTCAACAATATATCCATTCTTCTGTCAATGGACTTCTTCCTTTCATACAAAAGGTGTATTGCATTTCTTTTCAACAGTCCTATAATAGTTAATTGGTCATCTTGGGTACTGGAGCTAATGTGTGAATTGACATTTCTAACTTCCCCCTTCCTCTCGCCACATTGTCCCCCCTTTTTCCTCAGGGGAAAAAACAGAGGAACTTTTTGACATGTCCTTAAACTTATAACAATTTATTGATCTTGTTTATCAGACAAATGCTATTGCTTTTGCAAGGGAAATGAGAGATTGGCACTATAGGCTGTCATTCTTGTGCTATTGTTGTTCTTCAAAAGTAATCATGTTTCTTTTCCTACAGGGATTAGTTGAGAGAGTGGCGGTGATTTTTTCTGGTAGCAACAATGTACCTATCGAGAGATTTGTTTTCAAGATAAATGTAAACCAATCCTATGGTTCAAAGTTGGAGGAAGCTGATCTGGCGTTCTCTCTTAAATCATTTTTGATCAAGCTTCCATTGTCCCAATCGTTAATGAAGGTTCTTCCACCAGGTAAGCTAATTAGGAACTTTATATCAAACGGCACTATAAATCTTCTTAGCTTTTGCAATTAGCCTTTGTGAGAATTCGAAGTGGTTTCCTCAACTTGTTAGCTTTGATAGATTGCAGGTGGGAGATAACAGCTTACTTCCGCTCTCTCCCGCAGAGTGGTACCAGCAAAGATGCCGAAATTTGGGTCCCAACAGATACACAGCAGTGGCAGCAAGCACCTCTTATAACTCCTATTAAGTCCATGAGTAGTGAACCTCTAGGTGTCCAGCTATATCTTGAACATCCAAGTCTCTCTGAACCAAAGGCTTAGAAGGAGGTCATCTCAGAGGCATTTGTCATGGATCTCTTCCAACAGAATTAGTAAAGGCGTGCCAATATCTTATCCTGGTGTGGTTCCTGACATCTTCCCACTTCTCATACCGTTCTCTTTTCAACCATCAACTATTCGAAACTCACTTGCCTGACTAATCTGGATACAGCCAAGTTTTCATATCCTGCAGTGGATATAGTATATCAAGGTAGATTTGGGCATATCTGGGGGCATCAATTATGCACAGAGACTCAAATAAAACATAGTTAGGTCACCAGATTATCTTGTAAAGCTTCATTTCCTTACAATTACATAGAGTAGTATTTAAGCTGGTTGGCCATCATTCTATTCAAAAAGTACTATCGAGTGTCATGCCGCATGCGTACTCAATCTATTTATTTCAGTATATGAATGATTTTAAACATTTATTATGTGACTGGTACTATTCCTCTCAAAATGCATTGATTTGGAACCCATTCATCAAGATACTTGATCTTAGTTGGAATATGGATGTTACCAGAAGCAAAAACAAGTACACCCATATTCCTTTCTGGAGAGAACTCCTAATTGTCTCAACAACTAGAAAAGAGGGGGTTTACATTCGTTCACCATTGACTTTCTTTGATCAAGTCACAACAATTTTTTACACATGAAGCAAAAGGATCAAGTTACAACAATGTTTCATCTACATGAAGCAACAGGTAATGAGACCTCTTAATTTCCATAATAATGCCAAGACATAAAGGTTTCAACGAGAAACAAAAACTAACTACTCAACAGGCTGCAGCAAAAAGAACCATTCTGTACAAACTAATGGCAGACCGCCAAAGATCTGAAAGTCACAACTCACTTGCCCATGTGAGTTAAGATCCTACTAATCAAGGCTTCTTTCTTTCCACTGACTGGAAGGTCATGTGCACCTAGATAATACTTCAATTCTACAACTGTCATGTCCTTCAACTGCAAAATCGCAACAAAAAGAAGTGAAATACATATATAATAAGAAATCAAATGAAATTTTATGAAAGTATTCTTCTTGCCATCTCACTAAAAGCTTCTCATTCACTTGAAGCACTAATTGTTCCAACAAATTTATCTGACCCAAACCACATCACCTCATATATTATAGATTGATTACATTTTGGATCTGTTATAAAGCCCAGAACTGAGGCAACATATATATAGCACAACATCATAAGCTTGGCAATGTTACCTTCCCATTATCTGCAAGGTCAGCCCACTCATAATTACCATATTCTTTTATAGCATTTGCTTTCCGTTTCCTAGTTGGCTCAGCTTTTCCTTCAATGTTTGAGTCTTCATCCTTATAGCTCTCTCCATAAACAGAGAGCTTGAATTCCTCCAATGCTTTGACAATACCAGGCCTTGCACCCAAACAAGATACAAGCAAAGGAAATTCAGAATAACAAATTTTCTAAACATAAGAGGCAAGTTGAAGACTAAAAAGGACCAAAACCACAGACTAAAGGGACCTAAGATGGTGGAAATTCATCACTACCTAGCCATTCCTTCTTCATCTGGAAGAGTCTCGTCTTTAATTTCAGGCATCTCATCTTCATCAAGTGCAAGAGCTTGTAATACTGCATAATGTCTCTGCAATGCTGCAAGAAACAATCTTGTAAGAATACAAATGGAAAGGGTACTCCACTTCTATATATAAGGGGCATTCCACTTCATACAGTTCTGTAAAAATTATGAGTGCACGTCAATTGGAAGGGTGTCCAATGAAATAACTCTGCAAGTCATTGTTTGAAGCGAAAATTCTTTTCAAGTGCATGACTTCACGTATGAAGCGATGACCCTTTGCTTTGCATCATTTAATTGCTTTAAGATATGAAGCACTGGAACATAAATTAAACACCTTTGCAAGACTTGTGTTTGAAAGTCCCTTTTTGAAGTTAATAAGTAGATTCAGCAATTTACATTTTAACTACCTGGAAATATTTAACAAATTACATCAAAAACTTTGCTTCTTTTGGATGTCCACCCTATAATTGAACTTATTACTTTTCATTTGATCAACAAAGAGATGGATCAGTTAGTCCAACCCAACGGTAACATCAAGCTCCAGAAAGGCTTATATCTCACCTCGTAAATTATCAGCCCATTCAACACCTATTCTTTAGTTGCCCAGTAACTGGTAGTATATGGAAAAGGCTATTACAGTGGCAAGGCATCTCAAGATTGAACCAAGGATGGAAGGATGAAGTGCAATGGGCGCAGAGGTATTGCAAAGGGAAAAGCAAAGGTGCAGGTGTTTATAAGATGATGTTAGCTGCTGCAGTGTTCCAAGTGTGGTAGGAAAGGAATTTTAGAATTTTTCAGCAATCTACAAGGCTACAACATGTTATCATTAGGCAGATTGTCCAGGAGGATTTCCATAGAGCTACAATGGTGCCTGAGTTAGTATCTTACATGACTAAACTGGATTGTTACCCGGAGTGATGTTGCTTGTTTGGGGACGAGGTGTTAGGAGGTCTACGTGAGCTGCAGGGTGCATCTGGCATGGGATAAATACTAGCCAGTGCAGGCTCTTTGTAGTAGGTTTCTTCTGTTTGTTTTTATCTTCTTGAGATGTAACACTACCACCTTTGGTAAATAATATAATTTGCTTACCAAAAAAAAGCTTCATTTTGGAATCGGAACTGCATATATAGTGGCAGCACAAAACAATGATCTCCTTTCCCAAGCTATGATTACTTACCAGGATTAGCAAATTGCCACACAGAAAAATCTTTGAGGTCAATACGTCTCACTAAAGCGGAGGCCTTCTTTATCTGGTCATCAGTGGCATGAGGCACGGAATTAGGATCAGTATGAAGCTGCAAGTAAAACCACATTCGTTAGATATAGACTTCATGATTTTTCAAAATAGAAAAAGAAATCAATTGTGACTAAGACATAATCTGCCTGCCTCTTCAACATGTCTGATATCATCAGAATATGGAAGATAAATCAGATGCATCCCTGGTGGCTCGACTTGACCACTAGGAGTCATTACTTCATCCTGCATTTATCAAAAACCATGAAAATGGAAGACCAACAGGTAAAAGTTTGTCATTATTCACAACTTCACACAGAAAAGAATACACCAAAAAAGGCTACTCCCTCCACCCAATTTCCACTGAGAAGTTTGAATGCACTTAAAAAGTTATACAAGGTATGCTGGACTTGAAAAAAATTATCAAAAAGAGTGCTGGTGTTACCAACACCCCCCCCCCAAAAAAAATAAAATGCATGGTTGCAAAAAGTGATCAGGAAAGAGGTGATTGAACTCTGAAACGAAAAAGGGAAAACTTTCACCTCGCATGAGAAGCGAGTAGGCATAAGCTACTTAAGTCCCTATCGAAATCGCAGAGGCTCCAATGCCATTTGAAAAGAGAATTTTGTTAAAAAGGAGAGAAGAAACTCTCATGAAAATTAGTGAAACACACAAAAAAGCAATTGAAGTTTTTTTAATTCTTGGAATCCTGAAATTATGATCGCACAAGGATTAAGAATGTCCGACTTAATACTTCTTAGTAGATCTCTTTTGAATTTCACGAACAAATAAAGTCGTTAAGACTATTCTTAGTGATTGTATCAAATTATATACTTGGATTGTTGTCTCACCATCACACTCAATACATCCTTCAGTGCATGTCAGAGGTGTTGGCAATCACTGACCCCGCAATCACAGGTGCATTAATAGGTAGATTTAGTCTATATATAATCCGAAAGGATTTGGAGAGGAAAAACAATGTCTTACTTGTGCAACAAGAGCAACCAATTGAGGATGACTTAAATTCCCATAGAAAGCAACTGCAAAACTGTGATGATACTTAAAGTCAAACACAAAACAGCAACACACTCAGCAAGCACAGCAACAGAGAGATTATTAACTTATTTCTACAGTCGAGCAAAAATAAACATTTGCAAACTAATCTTAATGCGAGAAGGCAAGCAGAAAAATGTCCGTAAGTCAGCAACATGTGCCACTTCCGTAATAGTTGAGATCAAAGCTAGCTAGCACTACTGCAGACTGCTTATATACAACTTCAAACAAGATTTAGCACAGTGGGATGCTGATAGAGTAGTTCAAACTACCTAAGATAAGGTGAAATGAGAAGGAGAGAAAGACAACAAAACAGTTGCATGAATTACTTTAGACAAAAGGCTGACTAGAGACACATTTTTCGTATTTAAATAGACAAAACAGTATAAACAGTGACTAAAATGAAAATGAAAACCCAGTTGAATGAAGAACGGATGGACTTTTACCTAAGAAAAAGAGCATCCAGCCACTTCTAAATAGAGATAACAGGTCAAAACATGCAAGACTGAACTTATCACTCCCTACTATTAACTTAACCCTGTTTGCTAATTAAATTAACAAAATTTTCAGGCATACTAACCGCTTAAGCCGCAACATTGATCTTTGGAGAGCAACGAAAAGACAAGTGCTTCCAACCACTTCCTGCAAGTACCAAGGAGAAGCAATAGAATTGATCATCATGGAAATGACATATTATAGGAGATAGTGAAAAGTATTCCCAAATGATGGATCGAAGTGGTAAAGTTGTATGGTAAGAAATCATTGGTACTGCATAGTCCAAGCTGTTAAAAGCTGAATTTGATTAACTATGCCATAAGGACATGAAGATAGATATAGAAACGTAGAAATAAAGCACAAATCAAGTTGACTCATCAGACTCATTTCTAGATGTAGTTTTAAAAGGTGAAATGATCCAATCCAATATCCCATCTATCAGCAATATAAATTGACAAAACTAACATATTTTAGAGTGCTTCAAATAAAAAAATCTAACTAGTAGCATTTGGACAATATTAACCAGCTTAGCTTGTCGAGAATGAAGACGCCTGAGGACTGTGAATAACCTTTAACAATGACCATATACTGAACCAAAAGAAGAAAAATGAAGGTGGATTATTGAAAAGAACACCTCATCACTGGGAAAGACAAAAGTTGCTGGCTTCAGGTTATGATAGTCTTTTAAGCAGCTCAAAGGCTTGAAGCCCAACAGACGAAGATGTCCAGTTGAAACTCTTTTGACTTCTGAAAGCTCATCCGCAGAAAAGATGACATTCTCACTGAAACAAAAAGGCACAAGACATCAGTGAACGGTTGAATAAGTCTACCAGAGTTGAGTTGGGCTGGTCATTTGGTAATTCAGTGAAGCAAAATTTAGCAAATCAAGGAAACTCAAATGTGAATTTCTTCTAGGATATCCAAGTTCACTACATAATCTTTTTCAATACATAAATGATGAGGATCTAACACCCCGTTCCATGTTACAATCTATCCATATTCTCTTGAATTAATCAGAAAAAATTGGACAAAATGCAACAAAAGAGCACTGTTAGGAGCTGAATACTAATATAGTCTGTGGAGAGGCTTGGTAATGTTTTGACTTCTCT